ATTCTGCGTTTTCGGTTTTATACTATCTCTAAAATTGTGGATGGCACAAATTTTCGTCCTTTGTAGGAGCGGGCCGAAATTTGAAAAAATAATTTTATTTAATTTACGTTGCATATTTAAAAATATTTCTCTTCATACCCATTACTCAAAGAATTGAGGGCTATATTAGATTTTTGGTGACAGTGGATGGGTATAACACACAGAAGGTAGCATCTCCGATCCCATAAATTCTATACATTCTTGAGAATTAATAGCCGCGTCGATATAGCCATGTCTTTGAATACGCTATTTCTCATCCGATATATCTCTCATCCCTATATATTGTAGTTTTCTCTTAAAGAAACTTGTCTTCTTCGAGATCTGTAAAGCCTCCTCTTAGGAAGCCAATGAGCATTCTTTAGCTTATTTTTAATCTCTCAAAGATGTTCAAACGGAAGACTTTCATTAAATGAAATATCCTTTTAGCTCTACGGCCCTTCATGCATCGGTTTATGACAAATGACGCAGCTAATCGTATCTGGAAGCTTCAACATATAGCTCTCAATCGCCATTAGCTGATGCTGGACACTTTCCTCGATGACTTTGTAGGCCATGTGCCATTCGCAAACGTTGTCGCGCTTCTTTTTGATGAGCCTGTATATAAAGAACGATAGATTATAGGGACGGAAACAGCCGACTGAGGGAGTAAGGGCGTACCTGCACAGGTGCTTCATTATGTCATAAATCCGACCCATCTGTTTGCTTTGGGCCAATTCGGACAGCTTACTATTTATCATAAGGATGTCAGTTGGGTTGGGATACTGTTCATTGCTGACCCAATCGGCCAGCATGGATTTGTAGTTACTGCCTAGCAGATGGTTTTGAAGACCGTTGAGCATCAGTGCCGCGGTTGTGGGCTTCACTGCACGCAGTAGTTCTAGGGGCCCATCTGCGTCTTTGGGTACTGGGAATGTCGAGCAATTGTTTTCTATCCGCGGCACCGACGACGGCGGACACGGCATGGACGAGCGACGACCTCCTATTGGATTTTTACGCGTTCTGTCAGAATGCCCCGAGCTCCTGGCTATGAGATGTTCGTCCATGTTTTCGAGCACCTCACGGCGAATATACTCCGGCAGCTGGGCGAAAACCTCCATATCAATCGTTGTATTACCTAATCGATCGGAGTCATTGACCGTTGGCTCAAGTGATTTATTGGCAGAATTCTTCCATCCTACTGTATCCCATACAGATGGCAAGTCTTGTGGTTTTTTAAACTCCAAATCATTCTCCTTCTCTTTGAATACAGTAGGCTCCGGCTCCTCATGTACTTCTACGGTGGGTTCGCCTACGTATGGATAGAATATTATAATGCCTGCACTCCCATTATGTACCATATACAAATTTGCATTACCCTTTCGCTTCTCGGACATTTTCTCAAACATCTGCAATAGAACATTATCCTTTTTCACTTCGGTGGCCTCTGAAAGCTTACTCAGATGTATGCCTATGCCACGTAGCTCATGCGGAGGCAGTCCAGACTCTTTCATCAGCCTGAGGACATGTGATGTGATCACATTAACGTCGTCAGTGGCATGGGCTAGTATAAATGATTTGTTGATGGTGTCACAGACACCATGGCCCATAAACTTGGACGCCTCGATGGGAGCCTCGGCTGCTCGCACCATTACCTTCAAGCCGATCGATTTGGCTTTTCGTTTGATATCAGTTAGACGCGTGGTCACTTCGGCGCTGAGTTGGCGCAAAAATGTCTCGCACTCGCTGGTATTAGTGAACCGAATCCCATAGTTGACCTCAGCGGACACTGTCTTGCGTTTCTATAGAAGAAAGAATAATGCATCAGTATAAAGTCTGACTCAGTATTCAATTAAAAACCAACCTGTTCATAGACCAAAGGGCGTGTATCAATGCCACGACAGTTCTCGTACAATGTCAGAGCCAATTTTTTACCCACCACCGATTCAAGCGTCTGTAACGATGTCCTCTGCACATCAGCACAGTTCCGCAGACCTGCCTGCTCGAGTTTGTGGCGGAGGCTAGAGCCCACGCCCGGCAGTGTTTCCAGAGCTGTTGGGGCCATGTAGCCCAACACATCGGTGCCTGGACCCAGTAAGTACTGTCCGTCCGGCTTGGCCCTCTTGGTTGCCATGCGAGCAAGCAATCTGAAAAAGACTGACTCATTAAAATTAAATACTCAAGTCATATGAATTCACTTGTTACTGACTTGTTAGTGCCTACTCCCGCAGAGCAGGGACATCCCGTTTTGTTGCGAACCTCCTCTCTGAGATGAGCTACAAAGGACATCACATCTACTTGGAGATCCTCAACCAGATCAGTGAGGTCCACGAACATCTCGTCACAGCTCACCGCCTCGATGTTTAAGGTGTATTGGGCCACCGTATCGTACAAGGCAAAGGCCACCTCCTTGTATCCCTCAAAGTCATAGGGGATTGTCTTTAGTTCGGGGCAGAGCTTCAGGGCCTGGCCCACGAACATGCCGTTGCGGATGCCTTTGGCACGAGCCTCGTAGCTGCAGGATGCGATCTCAGAGAGAGACATTTTCTTGTCGAAGCCAGAACGAACTTTGTCCGCACGGATATTGTCGTGCAGTTGATGCTCGAAGCGCTCGGCGAAGAGCTTCAGCTCAGCCTGGCGATCGGCTTGCGGATGAACTGGTACGTCGGTGGCTGCATTGCCTCCCTTTGAGTGTGTTACAGCAATTGGCAGGCCGCGCCACTCCGGATGAGATCTCAAACCGACGGACACAAAGAAACAATCCATGTCAATGTGCATGATATAGAGTACTGAGGCCGCGGACATATTCATGACCTGGTCGCAACTGAGGACGGATCTTAGTTCGTCCCGTTTGGGAAATGGCTTACCGCCATTCGCCTGACGCAGCTCGCAGACATACTGCTTGAATCCCGCTCCGAGTGTGGCAATGTGATGCAGACGCGAATTCTTGTAAAACTCGCTAAGAAAAGCTGGATCGACGGCAGTGCGGGCGCTGTTGTTGGATATCACAGACACTTCTACAGCAGCTTTAGCTGCTGTCTCATTCTTGGGAGAGGTGGCAACAGCCTGCTGTAGGTTGTTCAGAATGTTGCTCAGGTCAGCCTCGACGGGCTCTACTAAACGCGGCTCGGCTGCAGTCTCAGACTTGGGCACTGCCATACTTTCATTGGTTCTACTCGTGTTTTTGCCTTTCCCAAAGTGAAGTCTCGGCTGAGTGGTTTTCTGATTAGTGTACAGCAGATATGGCTTGTAATCCAACACCCGCTTATTTTCCAAACAATCCACGATATATTGGGCGCTTATTATTTTGCTTGTGTTCATATTGCGCACCTTGACGTCAGGCAGATTGGACGCTATGATGAACTTCGTATGCGGCCTTTCGTAGTGGTGGTATATCCCGCCATGGACCATCATAATTTGCTTCAGCTCGTTGGCCGATGGATTCGTCAATCCATTCACAAAAATTGAAATGCCTTGAAATAAATTTGACTTGCGAAATGGATCGCTGGCGGCCGCAAATTGTTCTTCGAGTTTTGACTTCTTGGCCTCGAAGTACCCGCCCTGAAAATCGTTGCCACATAGTAAATAAGTCTTAATTTGGTTTACAGGACTCACCCACTCGCCAAATCCATTGTCCTCTTCGTCAGCCATAGCAAAACTTTCAGAAATCTTGAAAGCCGGCTCATAAATATTTGTTCACCTGATTTTAAGTAACAGGACCGATTTACAGCACTGTTGCAAAGTGGTCTGGCAACTCCGCCGATGCCGCAGTGCTGTGAAAGGCCAGATTGTTGCCATTTGCAAATTGTTGTTTTATAGTTGATACTGCGGAAAATAATGTGGAAATACGGACAAAATCAGGGCAACCAGGGTCCTGCAGGCGGCGGTGGAGGAGCACCAAACATGATGCCCATGGGCGGATTCATGCAAGGCGGCGGTGGCATGCAAGGCAGCGGTGGCATGCAACACGGCAACATGCCGCAAATGCATATGACGCCGCAGCAGCAACAACAACAGCAGCAAATGAACATGATGGGAGGACCGGGCGGTATGCAAATGAACCCCAACGCCGTTGGTCCGACCGGGCTTATGCCAGGCATGTCTCCGCAGCACCAAATGCAGCAGCAGCAACAGATGATGCAAGGCGTCCCCATGTCCATGCCTCCGCAACAGGCCATGCAACAGCAAATGATGGGCCCACAGCAAGGCTTAGGAATGGGCGGCAGCTCAGGTCCTCAACAACAGCAGCAGCTACAACAACAACAGCAGCAATCAAATCTTCAGCAACAACAACAACAACAACACAATGTTGGATCAGGTGGAGCCCCCGGCGCTGGAGGTGTCGGCAACAATATGCTAGCCATTTCGCAGCCAAATCCACACAAAGAGATCAACATAGTGCAGCTATCACGGCTGGGCCAGGAGACAGTGCAGGACATTGCATCGCGCTTCCAGGAGGTGTTCTCAGCCCTAAAGAACATACAGCCCACCTCGCATCGAGACAATAACACGGAGAAGAAGGTGCAGGAATACTTCCGCACGATCCGTTTGCTCTTTAAGCGGGTGCGCATCATCTACGACAAGTGCAACGATGCCGTCATGGACTACATGAATGCCGAGAGTCTCATTCCATACAAGGACGAGCCGGAACCAAGGATTGAGACTTCCCAGTGCGACGAATACCGCAAGGTACTGCAGGAGAATCACGAGTACATCGAGACTGTGAAACTGAAAAACCGACAGCTGCGCGAGATAATTGACAGAACCCGCATCATAATCTGGGAGATTAACACAATGCTGGCGATGCGCCGATCCTAGATTTTAGATATCCTAATTGTTTAATTCCATGCATTCTATTCTGAATAAAACTCAAATTCAGATGAAACCCGCCACAGATGTTTTCTGTACAATTCATGAAGTTTTCCAACACTTCCTCTAGCAGCAGAGAAGAAGAAGATTTTGTTGTGGGCGAGAGCGACTATTTTGTGCTGAAAATAATTACCTGTTAGCATTTAATTGCAATCAAATCAAACCGAAACAACAGCAATCATGGCGAAAATGGCATTTCAGCATCAGGCAGGCACTGCTATGGAGTGTTTGAGCGTAAGTTGTCCGTAGAATGAGATTATTAAATCACTCTTCCCGTATATGCGTATGTGTTTGTTGTGTATGTGCAGAGTTTGCGGTCGTCTGTATTGGTGAAATTAGGTCGCTGGAGAAAAAGCCAAACTTTCATATTTGATGAAGAGATTGTAATATTATGCACTTCTCTTCCAGATTCCCATAACACTGCACAAGGAGAAGGACTATGATCAGGAGGGGCGCGAGATACTCAAGTGCGGATTCAAAATCGGTGGCGGCATCGATCAGGACTATAAGAAGAGCCCACAGGGCTATACGGACTACGTGAGCTAGAAAACCACGAAATATACCTGTTCGAAAATAATCCAATTTTCTGTATTCACAGGGCATATACGTCACAGAGGTGCATGAGGGAAGTCCTGCGGCACGGGCAGGACTGCGCATCCACGACAAAATACTCCAGTGCAATGGCTACGACTTCACAATGGTCACACATAAAAAGGCCGTCAGCTACATTCGGAAAAACCCAATCCTTAACATGCTGGTGGCCCGCAAGGGCGTCACCTCCACATAAATGAAAACATGGAGCCGGGCCTCTAATGTAAGCAGCAGTATTTAAGCGGCATATAAACTATCTACTTCACTGCCACTCTGTGCTAAGGATCTCTACGCTCTTTGGAAACTATCCGAATACTTAGATATACACTAAATATATACTATCACCCTATCCACGTATGTATGTACATATGTATGTATACATACCCTATGCATATCGCACAAACATACATACATACTATGTATACCCAACCGTAATTGTAGCAAGTAGTAATGCTTCTTGGTAAATTCAATTTCTTTGCCTTGCCTTGGTTTATGTAGCCGCATGCCTGGGTTTTTATGTGATTTGTGCTGCTCATCAGTTGCTGATCGAATTGCCAATATATCCCAGTGTAAAGAACACATCGCCAAATACCGAATACAAACTAAACAGAAGCGTGAACATAAACATACTCTTAGACATGCCACCATCAGATTTGATATAAACAATTTTGTACTTTTATAAATGTGCGTAGCAACAGGCGCTATCGCTACCACAGCATCATTCCAAAAACTGAAACGAAACTCAAGCGCGAAACAAAGCAAATAACTAACGCAAAGTTGTTGAAACATACATACATAAATACATAGTACATACTTGTGATAAATGCCCGTTAACTGTGCAGAGATGTGTGTATACAAAATATACATACCATAACTTAAGTTTTACAATTGAGTTTTTTAATGTTAAATTGCATTTGAATAAATGTTTGCAAGGAATTGTCTAACTGATCGTCGATTATTTATGTAAATATTGATGCTAGGAATCTTTGATCACCGCACTACACTTTGTCCTTGGGTTTGACCTTAATTATGTGATGGTGCCGTGTCAATGGGCAATTATCCGCCCCGGCTCTACTAATGATGCCAGCCAGCGCCAGCTATAAAAGCCGAGTGGAAAATTAGTGGAATATTACATGACGACAGCGAGGAGCCTGCTTTAATTACAACGTACTTTGGATTTACATAACCAGACTACATACATACATACATCAGGTGGTAAGTATAAGGGCTACTGTTTAGACAAGTGGGTTTCACTTGAAATTTGGAAACGAAATATACAAAACTAGTTGCAAGGACATTTGCTACCTAAGTTAATACAATAAATCATGTTTTAGAATATGTATATATATGCGAGCGAGGGAGGAACTTGCACGGGTAGAACATAGGGAGAGGCACACGAACAGAGGCAAGATCAAACTAGTGTCCTGTCATTCCCATCGGAGCTATTTGTTGGCGTATCCATTCGGGTTTTGACTCTGCCAGCGCCACGTATCCTCGCACATCTTGTCGATGCCGCGATATGCCTTCCACCCCAGCTTCTTCTCCGCCAGCGTGGCATCCGCATAGCATGTGGCCACATCCCCCGATCGACGGTCCACCAGGACGTAAGCAATTTTCTTGCCGGATGCCTTCTCGAAGCCATGCACCATGTCTAGCACGGAGTATCCTACGCCAGTGCCCAAATTGTATGCGAAGAATCCAGTCTCTGCAATGTTGCGCAGCTTGTCCAGGGCCTTCACATGACCCTCGGCCAGGTCCACAATGTGTATGTAGTCGCGCACTCCGGTGCCGTCCTTGGTGGGGAAGTCGCTGCCGTAGACATTCAGGCTGGCGCGTCGCCCCACGGCCACCTGGGCAATATAGGGCATCAGGTTATTGGGCTCGCCGTTGGGATCCTCGCCGATACGACCGCTGATGTGAGCACCCACGGGATTGAAGTACCGCAAAGAGACTACGGCCCATCGCTGAAAAAGTAACAAAGTGAATAACGACTTAAGTCAAACGAAAAAAAAGGTCATACCTTATCGGACTTGCACAGATCCTTAAGAATCTCCTCAGTAAAGTATTTGGTTTTTCCATAGGGCGATGTGCAATTGCCCGTGGGGTGTTCTTCCGTCACGGGCAGGAACTTCGGCTCCCCGTAGACAGTGGCACTGGAGCTGTACACGAACTTGAACACGTTGTTGTCGGCCATGGCTTCCAGCAGCACATTCGTCCCGGTCATGTTGTTGTGGTAGTACTGCAGCGGGATGCGGCAGGACTCGCCGACAGCCTTGAGTGCAGCAAAATGGCAAACCATGTCGATCTTGTGCTGCAATTCATCCAGAAGCAGAGAATATTTATTGGATTAGTCACACGAATCGATTTTTCCCGGGAACATGTTCAGGTATTTTTCCGATTCCCGATTCTCTTAGTTTTGGTGTTGGAGTGCAGCTTGGCAGTGTACGTGGTCTCATGTTTATGTCGCTGTCGATGTGGATGCCAGCACACCAAGTTATGTCTGTGAGTGACCTCGTCGAGCATGGCTACACGTCAGGGTCGCGCAGTTCGTCGGAAGCGCACACCACTTGAGCAAACAAAACAAGAAAAGGCGGCGGCTGACTACATTGCTGATAGCGCGCACTCGTTCGGCTGGGTTGGCGGGCCAGCGCAATAACAACTCAGATAAGAATGATTGAAAGCAACTGGTATCCAGTTGGCACTTGAAGCACTCACTGGCACAATGCCACGATGCCAATTGCTGACGTGCACTCACCTCCTGGAAAATAGCTCGTACTTGGTCCCGATCCGTGATATCAGCACGATAGAAGTGCACTTTCTTGCCGGTAATCTCCTGTACGCGACTCAATGCCTCCGGCAGCTTGGCGCCGCTGCTGTACGCATTGCAGAGATTGTCCACGCAGATGACGTTGTAGCCAGCGTTGAGCATCTCCAGGACTGTGTGGGAGCCAATGTAGCCAGCTCCGCCGGTTACCAGGACAGTGGGTGGTGCCATTCTGGAGGAGAAAAAGTGAAAATTAGGCCAACGCAAGCGAAATTCTTATTGACGTCACCAAAAGATACTATACGCGCCATCCCAAGAACCAAGCGGCATGCGAAAACAATGCTCCGCTGCCAATAACTGGGCTAACGGTGCTTGCCGACGTGTGTCTGTGTGTTGGCACTCACCTGAACCTGACAGGTAAATATCTTCCACTGCTGCTGCTGCCGATGTCAAAGTTAAGTAGCTTCTGATGCTGCTCCGCCTCCTCTGAGTGACCGCTGGCCTTGAATCACCGAGTGAATCGTAAGTTATGTTCACACACGCGTACGCACACGCGCACGCACTGCAGAAGATGCTGCTGTCTGCTGCTTATGGCCAAAAGATCGCTGACCGCTGTTTGTCCGAGAGAGCTTCTTCTTCTACTTTTGTGGTGTGTGTTAACCCGTTTCCTGCACTTGTCGTCTCGTCTCGTCGCTCCGCTCCGCTCGCTTTGCGTTCATTCATTCATATGCGTTTCCCACTTGCCGATTTGGTACGTCTGTTTTGCTGGGCGGCTGTCGAGTGAATGATTTCAGATGTTTCGCGAGTAGACGAGTATTTAGCTTGTTCTCTCAGTTCTGCCCAGCGTATCGTTGGAACTCCTCTTATCAGCCTCAATGTCGTCTGATTACCAATGTCAACTCGGCCGCACGTCAGAGCTGCAAGCTGTTTCTATGGACATGCATTTGGGGCGTTGTGGGTGCATCGTTATCGGGCTATTAGTGACCTTTTAAACCATTGACAATCATTTATGCAACATTTAAGCGCCAAAATTCCGGCAGCAATAATAGGGAGCAGCAGCTGTTCGTCCGTCCGACAACAATATAGCGTCTCGTATATGGATTAGAAATCGAACTTAGCCCACTTAGCCCCCCTCTATTTAAACAGTTCAACCACTTCAGGTAAATGGCTGCAAATATTACTGATTGTGACTTCTTCTTGTATATCCATGCCATATTTCCCCTGAACTTAAAAAAACACGTTATCTTTCACCTGAACTGTGCTAAAATTATTATATTTTCTTATTATATTTTCATTATTTTCGGTGGAATATTAAAAAAACGCCTTGGCATACAATGGGTTAATTGGGATTGGAAACCATATTCCTCGATTTTGATATTCCGTTGGATAATGCTAATTAACTAGAACTCTCAGCTCTGCCCACATAATTTTATCCAATTAATGAACCTATTTCCTTCTTGATTGGTTTATTTTAAATACTGGCATTTATTGGATTTTGTCTAAAAAAAAGGTTTTAGCGAAAAAGATCGAACAAAAAAACCTTTTAGAGCATTAGTTTCTATTGCTCAATTTTGATATTCCGTTCAATAATGTTGGTTACCTAAAACCTTTAGCCCTGCCCACATAGTTGTATCCTATTGATGAATACATTTTCTACAAGGTTAACTACTTTTTAGTATTCCCATATATTGTATTTTTAATAAAACAAGGCTTAAACAAATAAGTTCACCAAAAAATCAGTCGCAGTGTGTCAAGTCAATGTTGCTGGTATTTTAAGACTTGTGGCTTGTCAACCGGAGTATGGCCATTTGTATACGCTATTTCGTTTATTTTATATGAAGATACCTTGTCAAAGATGTATTTGAAATCTAAATCCAAATCATCGTCATCGAATAGGGAGGATTTAGGTTTTTGTTCTGGTGGCTTTGGCTTGGACAAGAAGCAGCTTAGATAGTCATCTTCCAGATCATCATCAAAGAGAGACTTTTTCAAAGGTTTCGCAGGCTTTTTGGGAGGATTTTGACTCGGCTTGGCACTTAAAGACGACGGCCTGGCATTAAAGATGGGCCTAGACAGATCATTGGTCGCATCATTGAGCGGAGTCTGCGTTGGAATGGGAGTCAATGGTGGACTGTCATCAAGGAGATTAACAGTTTTGGGCTTGGGCTGACTTGATACATATCTGCTTGGCCGATATGCAAAGCTGTGGAGTAGTAGAAGGTGGAGTAGGATATTGTTAGTTTAAGAATTTGGGCTGATATCGTGTCTTTCCACTCACCGTGTTGATGAGACACTGAAAGTCTCCTGGCCGCTTGCAGCAGTCGGCATCAACGTGGACATGGTCACAGTTGGTGGTACCATCGCAGACCAGAGCCTTCTCGCTGCCCTCGCTTGAATGTAAGCTGAACTGAGGTGCAGATGTTGAAACAGCAAGCACTTTCGCTTTCGGTGTCCACACGTCCCGGATGCCGGTGAACTGCGACAGACGTTGCAGCTTCGCGGAACGACGATCTCCGTTGACAGTGATCCGCTCGACTCCGGTCTTGTCGTCCAGCCAGTACACAAATCCCCCCAAGGCGCCAATGTTGATCACATGCGAGATGTGCAAGGAAACAAGGTTTTTCCTGTGGAGAGGGAACAGGGGATTACACATGTGTCCAGAGGATACTCATATTCATTGCTTACTTGTTCTTTCCATTGATGTCTATCACATCGATTCGCTTGCTATGGCATAGTAGATCATATCGGACTGTTGGTCCAGGGCCAGCGTCGCGACTCCTGTCAGCTTGTAGGCCAACTCCACACGCTCACTGCCATCGAGCCATCGAGCCCGATTGAAGGCCTGAGGGCAGTCGACATCTGTCCAGAAGAGCAGACGCCTTTATGGCATACGCGGCAATGTTGCGAGGCTTCTGCTAATTCGCCCATGAAGCTAAAAGAGGAAACGGATATTCTTGCCGGACACCGGCAGCGGAAAATTCGGCAGATTCTAATATAAAGATTACTTTGTTTTGTTCCGCAATTGGTGGTGGCAGTTTGTCAATATCGATAATGTATCGAGAGTTTCAGAAAGAAAATTCATTGTCTATCGATAGCTTATCGGGGGGGTCTTGACTTGGCTAATTCGCATCAGAGACACAAACCCAAAGATGGCCAACGGAATTTCAAAATTGACTGAAGATCGGTTAGTGGGTCAGCTTTTTGGCTCTGGGGCTGGAGGCAATTGTAGGCTGCCATTTCCACTTGTCGCATTGAGAAATCTTTTCCATGCGTGCGTGTTTGTTCGTTGTTGTTGTTGTTGTATTTGTTGTGGCTGTGGCTGTTGGTTGTTGCTTGTTTTGCCGGTGACCCAAATTCCTTTCAAATCTTTAGTGATAAGCGGAAGTGCATGTACTAAATACGAAAAATTAGAAACGTTTGTGCGTATGAATGAGTGCGTGTGCGAGTGCGAGTAGAAAAGGAAGAGCTATGTGTGGCTACGACGTAATTAGAGCTTTTTATGTTTCATTTACAACCTAATTGAGAATGTATTTGCGCAGCAACCATAGCACAGCCACAACTACAGCCATATCGACTCTCTGAATGAAATGCTCCTGCCTCTGAATCTGAATGAAATAAATATATGAAATGTATGAATGGACGCTGCTTCTTTCCGAGATACAGACTGAGCCCGAGTCGCTGGCGGAGGCGGAGGCGGAGGAGGAGGAGGAGTCGGAGGCATACGAGCAGGGCAGGCCAAATATACTACAGATCCATACATATACTCGTATGTATACATATATACACTTACACTCGCCACATACAAAATCAAAATACATACACATAACCGGAAATGAGTTAGTTGAACTTTTTTTATGTGTGCGACAATAATTTGCACTGTCACAGAAAGACAGAAAAGTCTCTCAACGACGTCTCTGTGGCCGTCGTTGTCGTCGGACATGGACGTGTCCGCTTGTCATGCCTACAGTTATGTATGTACACACATATGTACATATATGTAGACTCCGTTCTATATACAAGCATACACATTTATGCATGTATGCTCTCAACCAAGTACATATGACATTATGGAGTGAACATTAAGGCATCGGGCATTATCAGTTTAACGAGAGAATCGGTGGAGGGGAATGGAGATCTACACACATATAAGCTATGGCAATCGGGAATGGTATAGAATGAATTCTGTTCTTTTTTGGAACATTTCATAGTCGGAGTTCTAAGGGATATGGTCTTCAGGTCCTTCCGATCGCTGGGAGGATATATGCAAGGACAGCCATTAGATGTTATGCTTTTTAAAACTTATTGAGGAAATGGAGTTGGTTCCGTTCGAAGAAAACTTGAATGAAAACTTTCTGTTATCCATCTTAATAAAACCAATTTTCCACATTATTTTGTTCGCTTGATAATCATCTCCGTTTTGTTCTATTCTGTTCATCTAATTTCGGCTGGCTCTGGCTCTGGCTCTGTGGGAAGAGGCAACCCCAATATGGACCCGGACTCGGGCACAGAGACCCGTACCGGGGACCCCTAGATACGGCAGACGCGATAATGTCTAAGGCACTTCAATTTGATTTCCATGTGGAGTGGGGATCGACTGGGGAGGACTGGTGAAAGTGCTGCACTTTTCACATGGCCCTGATCCGACTACGACTCTGGCTCTGGCTCTGGCTGTGGCTCTGGCTCTGACTTCGACTCTGCGGAGTGGGCCACCATAAATGTTTATCACAAATTAAGCAATTTACATTTTGTGGACATTTTCGCTTGGCAGAACCCGCATCCCATGGCCTGATCGCCTCCGGCCTCCGGCCCCTGGGACCCTCTCCCTCTCGCGTGTCCAAAGCGGAATGTTTTTCTATTTTTCAATTTCTAAATTGAAGATATGGAAAAATGAATTTCATAACGCACATGCAGCACAACACACACACACATACATATGTACATTCAGTTGAATGTATGTATAATTAGCCAATTATCTAAAACGGTTCTATGCTCGATCCAACGCTGAAGTATGATAGATAAATTATACACCCATGAATGCCTGAACATATCGCTGTGAAGTATGGAGTACTAGTACTCCACTCCGAGGCAGAGAGTCAAAGTATGAATATGAATATGGGTATGGGTAGGGGTATGGGTATGGGTATGGGTATTTTGAGTATGAGTAAGTGGAGTACAGCCGGCGCTTCCAGCAAGAGTTTCTCACCAACAGGAGACAGACCAACAGAGTAGAGATCGGGCAGCGGCAAGCGGCAAGCGGCAAGCGACAAAGACAAGCGACAACGATGACGACCACGACCACGAGACTGGCTGGCTTGGCCGAAGCTCTGAGCACGCTCTCGACTTTCCAGTCCGTCCGCCGTACAGTGATCTCATTTCGTTTGGGCAAAAACTACCACAAAAGCTTAGACAAAGACCCAAGGAGGGAGTGGTGCCGTGCTCTGGTGTGGTCTGTTGGAGCGGTGGGGGGATGAGGGGGGGGATCTCGATCTTGGCCTGGCAACAGAGGCAGGCAGAATGATGAACACGTGTGCTGCTGCTTCTTCGTCGGACAGGAGTAGGTCAGAGGGGTGTGGCTGCGGCTGTGGCAGGCAGGGGCCAACCACCCTGAACGGAGAATGGAATCGGGATCTACATCGGGATCTTGGCACCCCATTTTCACACACATTTTACGAGCTATTGATGGCGGTGGAAATGTGCTTATGAATATGAATAGGAATACATAGATATTGCCCTGCCCTGCCCGGCTCTGCTCGCTCTACTTCCTACCTGAACTGAGCTGAATCCTCTTTAATGGCAACTTAATAAGACTTCTTCAGAACAGGGTTAATGCGACAAAAGCGCATTCATACCATAGAAAATTTAATTAGTTGTCTGTGTTTGTTGCCTGCCCTCGGGCCTTGGGCATCGAGCATCGGGCCTCAGGGCTTGTTTATTGTTGCGAAAGTAAACGAAAGACAAGCCGTTCCCTGCCACAGATGCACGAGGAGGGTTGTTGTTGCATACCGAATATAATAGGACAAAGGACGAGGTCTGACTGGATACGATACATCTGCATACAAACTCTTGTTCTCATTCTTATTGTCTGAAGGGCGAAGAGAAACATGAACGAACATGATGCGAAATACACACACTTCAAGTATTGCTCTTCATCTGATCTGTAATTTATGCTTTCCTCGTTGTTGTTGTTGTTTTCCAATTTTATCGGGGGAAAAGCAGTCGGAAAAAGTCCAAGAAAATCACATCAAGAAAGCTGTTTTTCAGAACTATTATAATAGTTATAATAATATATGATCTGATGGCTTTCAAACAAACGTAGTTCTTAGAAAAATACATAGATTGAGTATTTGACAAGGACAATCCAATAACATCCCAAAATCCTAGAATCGTTGGTAAACTACTTCATCAAATAGCCTTAACCCCTACTGATTTGCTTTTCGTCTAATGTTTAATCGTTATTCCCAAGCTATTTCTTCAATTTGGGATCGGTCTTAAAAACCTCTCATACTTTTCTCCCCCAGGTGTCGGGAACCTTTTCCAAACCCAACCATAACAAATCACTGATGCCATCTATGTAAGATATTGTAACCTCTACAAACTGCATTTAACGAAAAGAAAAAAAGAAAACCAGCTCTATAGGTGGATGTATAAAATGTATAAACAACGCCAAAAACTATGAGAGAAATGCATTTCTCAAGGCAATTTCCTCTGTGTTTCCGGAACAGTGCCAGGATCTGACTGAGCGAACGCGTTTCCTTTTCAGTGATATAATCGTCGTGGGAATTTCAAATGCCGCTTGCCACATACAAAAACGTGGCCAACTGAAGGCCAACTCCACCCAGCCCGAGCCCCAAGCCACACCACAATGCAGCACCTGGCTGTGATTGGAGCTGGCTCTGAAACTGGGGCTGGGACTGGGGCTGGGACTGGGACTATCCGTACAATGGAAAGTGCAGCGCCTCCGGAGATATTGTTGATTGTGTTTCTCTATTGCAGCAATTGTTGCTGGAGCTGAAGCTGGTGGCTGGTGGCTCTTTTCTCTGGCTCCACAGATGTACATATGGACATACCTACACATGTATGTGTGTCCGTGTGCGAGTATCTGTGAGCTGTTTCTTTGGTGGAGTGCGTGAGTCTGCTGCTGAGCTGCATGGAGTTGAGGCCAAAGCTTTATGGCACCGGCCCCGGCCCCGGCCACTGCCACCAGCCGCATACCGATGCGTATCCGGGATTGTGAAATGTTTTCATTTCAAGAGACGAAGACGAAGACGGAGACACATTTACCGCCGCCGTCTATCGTCTGCAAGCTGTCTGTGGCTGCCTCTCTTTCCTCTTTCCCCTTTCACTTGGCAACTCGCCGCCGCCGCCGCCGCCCTGCCTTCCGATACGTGCCGCATTTTAAACAACACTCTACTCCACTCCACTCCACTCCACTGGCATCAATGCGATTCAGTACTCGCTCGCAAAAGGAATCGAGGAATGCGATGAGCTAAGCCCGGCTGAAGTTTCTCCCGGCCCGGCTATTTCTGTATCTTGGCCATTTACAACATTTGCCCGATTCTATTTATACGCATTTTATGTCCGCTATTGTGCTCCGAATGGAATAGTTTCGCTTTATTCATTGTTAATTATCAACAGATTTCTGTACATTTAAATATACGAACTAACTTTAACATTTTGCTTAAAATCAACTACTATTAAATAGTCTTATTGGGTAGATATCTATTACATTTGAAAAACAATAATATGCTTAATAGGGCAAACATTAAGGAGATGATAGGAGGGCACATTGTTTCAACCCATAGCAAGAAATCTTTCAAAATGTAATTGCTTTTATTTTCTAGCATATTTCGTTTCATTATTGAACTTCAGGCCTCAGTGGAGTAAACCTGAGACTCCAAGACCCCGAGCCAATAAGGCATTCAAATTTAGTTACAAAATGCATTCTTTCGTCATTCAGAAATGTTTTTTCCCTGGCTTTGGAGAGGGTCGTCGCTCGTCGCTCCAGTTG